TTCCAACAGGAAACAGGTCACTGAAAGCAACACTTGTATTGAACATTCTGCCTTTAATTTCATCCGTATGTGTGCATAAAATGCCCCTTTTTAACGTGATAAATGTGGAATTATTTTCTAATATCAAACTTGATATTGAACCTCTGCACGATGCATAACCTGATAACAACATGTTTAATACTGTTGAAACTTTTACAAAAACTAAGCACATATAAGAACAGTGTAGGTGTCATGGTTATTATGTTTTTTAATTAGGGGAAAAACAAGCCTCGTTATTGTGGTTGCGTTAGGAATTAGGAAATGTGTAAAAGCCTGAGGGCAATTATATATTTTTCGAGCTTATATAGCAATTTAAACGTGTTCTCTTTATTTATAAACTGTTATGATGTGCGAAAGAGTAGCTGCTTTAATTTAATCCGAACATGTAGATTAATGTTATTGACAAAAAATGTCCCGTCGTTCAAAGGCTAAACGCAGTTTCGTTTCATTTAGAGGCGGACATTTATTTGACATTATTTTTTTTAAACAAATAGTCCATTTCTTGTTGTTTGTCGGTAAAAACAAGTTTTAGGCTGAGTTTTTATTTCTGTAAAGCTCGCACAAAGTGTTGCTAGTTTGCATTAGCGCGCAGCTGATGATAATAAAGTTATCTCTCTGTGTGTTTTGACACATTTACATACAATGGAAATACCGACCTGTAGGGCCGTTCGTCCGAACTGGTTCTTCCCGTTAACGTCGGCTCCTTTCAGCAGAACAGCCTCCACACCGGCCGTGTTTCCCTTCGCTGCAGCTGTTGTCAGGTCATCCTGGAGAGTCATGTCCGCGAACCCGCAGCGGCGATGTCGTCGACGCGCTTCTTGTTTGACAGGTAAGCAGCAAGCTATTTTGAGGATATATTTTTTTTTGTCGAACTTTCCTCTTTTTTCCCCCCGAGTGGTGGTGTTGCGTTTATTATTTCAGTCCAGACTCTAAGTTCGTGTTTTCGTGCTGAACACCGGTTGCCAGAACCGGGTCAGTAAACCGTGGCTGTCCGGCTGTCGTCTGGTTGTGTCTGGGCTTGTTTTCAGTAATGAATGGGTGGCGTCATTGGCTGTGACTGAATCGGTGAGTGCGCATGCGCAAAGGAATAGGGGTTTGACCAATGGGCTTGATAGCTGCCCCACAGCGCACACTTTGATTGGTTCTCGTAGTAAACGCTGTTGTTGGACTGTCAGGGGCATAAATGTGAACTCAGCATGTTTTGGAGAAGGGGTCTAGCTGCAGCAGTTGCAGGATATTATTGATTTTACAAGTCTTTCTGAAGGTAATTTGCATATGCAGTGCTATAATTATGTTATAAACCCTATACAGATTATAATAATAATAATTAGTAGCCTATTTGTAACTTTACGAGGCTAGTTTAGCAG